CCTGGTAGAAGTCAATAGCAGATACAAGGGGGTTTTTTGACTGTTAGTTCTCCCATTGCAGGGACACCAGAGCCTTGCACCTGGTAGTGAATTCTTCAAACTTCTGCTCAGTTAGTCCTAAATATGTCACTGCAACCTTTTGGGTGTTGTGCACAGTCTAACCCGCTATTGTGTGTTCCACGGGTAGGGCTTGATATTTGTAACCGATTCAAACAAAAGGGAAACTTCTCCCAGACACGGCTTTCTGGTTGCATTAGAGAGAAGCAAAGATTTATTAGTATTTTCCGTAGGAAGACCAATCACAGTAGAGTTTAACTCAGGTAGCGGTGATTATGCGCAGGAATTCAGTTGAAGCAGCTCTGCAGAGCCCCTGGGGTGCGCAGGGTTTGCTGGGTGACCTGGCCAGGGCTTTGCTGGGCCTGAGACAGCATCAGGCTCGGTCCAAAGCGGGGGATGCTGGTGCTGCCGATCACTCCTCAGACCTCCTACAACTCCCTGAAAGATGAAGGGAAGCAAGAATTTCTTTGGAGAAGCGTTACCTCATTCGCATTTTTAATCTCTTAGGTACTTGTAACTATAACGGTGCGGTTCACGGTGACTCTTCCCCAGCGTTGCAGAAGGGCTAGGACAGTGTCAGACCTCGTATTTGCACAAGTGCAGTGTTTGCAGCTCTACTGGGTTCAGTGTGGGGATCTGCCGCTGTTCTCAACTGTGTATGTGTAAATCACTTTAAATTTAGAGTGACCGTAGCAGTGTGACTCAAACACAGAGGAACTTAGAATCTGCATTTACGTGTGTATGAGTATTTACAGCAAATTTCTAAAGGCTAAAGATGGACAGCACGTAATAGATTCTAATCTTGCCTCCCGAGCAGCAGCACACACAGGACCCTTGCAAGTCAGACTGGACGTTTGATCAAAGAGTACGTTTTTAAGGAGGAACTTTCAAGGCCTATTAATTTTTAAAAACTAGATCTCATCTACACCAAATTTTGCCAAAAAATCTCACTCATTACTCAAAAGCCTTCTGAATTTCCTGCCTTTGTTTCCAGCATCAAGAGTCTGTGCAGGATTATTACTTTCTGCATTGATGGCTTCGGGCCTTTTGGTCTGCGGCCAATACCTCATCCCCAGCTGCAGTCTGCGGTGGAAACAGCATTCGTGAGGCAGAGGATGGCTTGGCTAAGATTAAATCGTGTCCCTGGTACTTCCTGGATAAGATGGAGTAAATAGGAGGCCAAAAGCAGGATCATTTTCTGTATTTTTTAAAAAAATCAGAAGTGGAAGAGAACCTTTCTAAAAACTGTAACTTCCTGTTCATTTTAAACATTTTCAGGACCTAGAGCCTTACCCAATCTCATTGTTTTTATGGCTTCAGACACTTCCTCCATGGTTGCTCCTCTCTCCAGTGTTTTATTCCCTTCCAGGCAGAGCTTCATGTTTTCAGCACCTCCTGGAACTACAGCCGTGAAATTGGACACAGAAAAGACCTTTTGGTCACTCCTCTTCTTGTGCTGCTTCAGGATTTTGCAGCTCATACCCCTATATTGTAAATGTTTTGAGTGTCCCAACTATTTTACCCTGCTTTAACCATTCCCCCCTCAACACCAGTTACATTTCTAACATTTGGCTTCATTCTGAAGCTGCTGATGTCTCTGGTTCCCTGCACGCTTTGCGTGGGCATTATTTTTCCTGTCCCCTCTTCCTTTCCTCTTTCTACGCATCCTCTGATACAACTCTTCATAACATCCTCTTCATTCGAGTCACTTGTGAAAATACTACCGTGATGATATGTTACTGTGTAAGAACAAATGCCTTAAAACACAATTGGAAGAAAACCAGCAAAAATCTCTCCAGATTTCCAAAGAGGGAAGGAAGTGACCATATCCTTTCCTGCTATTCAGAGAGAAAAGTGAATGGGAGGATGCACGCTTCATTCCCATCTTTACCTGGGCTTTCACAAGACTTGCCAGACAGGGAGTGGGAAGATGATGAGTGGGAAAGGCAGGATTTGCCCCCTCCTCCACTGCCGCCTCCTCCACCTGAAGCTTTACCAGAGGTTCCACCTCCTGCTCTTCCTCCGCTCCCTCCTCCTCCTCCACCTCCAGAAGAGGAAGATCTTCTGCAGGATCCTCCAGTTCTTCCTCCACTGCTTCCTCCCCCTGAGGACCAACTGCTGCCTCCTCCACTGCCTCCTCTTCCAGAAGAGCAGCCACTTCCTCCATAGTCTCCTCCTGAGGATCTGCCACCGGCTCCTCCCTGGGAGCTTCTGTAAGGAGGAAGGGACACCTATACGTATGGTAAGATGTATGGCAACATGGCCAGGGGCTGCCATCCTATCAAGGCCACTTCCTGACTGTCTCTGAGCTCCTCCCTTGACTGAGAAAGTACAGTCGTGTGAAACACGTTCTACAGAACGGATTATAAACTGTGCTGATTAAGGACACATTCACTGATCTGCACAGAAGAGGAAAAAGATAACGGATGGCTTTAGAAATCGTTCAAAATACGTACCTTGAGTATTTATAAAAGACAGTTATTTTCTTGCTTACCTTTCATTTTCATATATAACTGGACTTCCTGATGGTACTTAGGAGAACATATGGCAAATTATGGTACTAAATACTTTTGTTAATTAACCTGCATGGCCATACCTAATGTCGTGCTGTCCCTCCTCCAGCAGTGCCCGGTACTGAGCGATCTCCTGCTCCAGGCGGGTCTTGATGCCCAGCAGCATCTTGTACTCCTGGTTCTGGCTCTCCATCTCACAGCGGATGCTGGCCAGCTCCTCCTCCAGGGGCCCGATCATGGCCTGGATCTGCTGCAGCTGCAGGTTATAGCGACGCTCTGTGTCCTCCAGGTTGGACTGCAAAGAGTCGATCTGCAGATGGAAAACAACATACGGTGTTGATGGGAATGGGGTACTGCATGGAAATATGGCAGGATTAGCTCATTCTTATGCCCAAAATGAGGAAGACCTTAGACAGTGTTGGATGCACCAAGCACCTTCCTGAACTGCAGCACCAGCTGTAGCTGATCTCCTGTCAGCTCAGAGCCCACAAGTTCTGTGCATATCAGAGGACCGAGCATTCGTTACGTACCAGGCTGAGCTGGGACTGCAGCTCGATTTCCAGGCTCTGGTAGTCCCGTCTCAGCACAGAGATCTGCTGGTTGCTTGATTCCACTTCCTGACTACTTGACTGGACCTGCTGGCTCACTTCCTCCATCTGGAAATTTCATATATGGAACTGGAGGTTATGATTTTTACTTACAATCAGCATGGCTGTTTATCGTGGAAGCATTTGGCAGTACCAGTTGAAGCAGAGCCACTTGCACTATGGGGGCTGTTCACACCCACCTGTGATTTCCTTTATTTTAAACAAAGAGATTTCACCATTACATCCTAAAAGCAGTGGATGTTGTCATTCAAAGTGGCATTCATCTACAGGAAGTTCTTACCAAAAGTTGGTACTGTTCTTCTTTTGTAATATGAACATACAAACTGTAACCATTTACCTTGCTTTCATACCAACTTTCAACCTCTTCACGGTTTTTCTGAATAATAGTTTCATATTCTTGTCTCATAACGTTCAGCTTTTTCAGCAGATCCTCTCCTGGAGCAGCATTCACCTCCACGTTCACATCCCCACTGCACTGTGTTTGCAGCGATTTCATTTCCTGCAGAGAAAGCCCAGGCAACAAATAATTGGGTTTTCCCCCGATGCTCTAAGTGCTGTTGTTTTCCTCTGCAGTTTGCATTTCAAGGCCCTGGCTCATACCTGCTCGTGGTTCTTCTTGAGGTCAATAATCTCCTCCTTGAGAGACTCAAACTGCATCTCCAGGTCAGACCTGTGGAGGGTCAGGTTATCCAGCAAGGGCCGCAGGCTGTTGATGTCAGCCTCCACGTTCTGCCGCAGCCCGCACTCGCTCTCGTACCTGCGCCAAGAGCGGTGCAGAGAGGTCAGTCCCGGTCCCGGGTTCTCACTCCTCTTGCTGCCTTTATGTGTGACAAACCTCACAAATTCCTGTGTCTCAGGGTCTGCTTTTGTGTCTGTGCTTCATAGCACGCAGCATTTCTCAGCCAGCAGAATTATGAAATTGGCAGCCAGTACTTAAAGATTAATATTAATATTAAACTTTAATATTAAAATGTATTCTGTGGCCTTTTTCACGGTCTCTTTCTTCTTTAGACTGTGTGCAGGTTTCATGTATCTGTTTCATCTGACTTCCAGTGACAGAAAATCCCAATTTCCATTTCCTTAAGAATAAAGCTTTTTTTAACCTTTGCACAGCCATAGGGAGTGTTCCCACTGAAGATCATTATAGGAATAATGAAAAATTTTGAAGTCTTACAAATTATCTCAGTTGTGCTGCCATGGAACCAGGAGGAGCCCTGGTCTCTGGGGATTGATACTTGTTTATGGAATTAAGTAATGAAACTAAGTTGAGGAAAGCAGGGGAAAGGAAGTCAATGCCTGGAGAGCAGGAATAAATACTCACTTTGTCCTGAAGTCCTCTGCAGTCATCCTCGTGTTGTCCAGGTCCAGAAGGACCTTGTTGGTGTTCACAGCCGCAGTCACAAGCTGGAAGAGAAGACATCATCCTGAGGAAGATTTTCCCTGTGAATCTTTCAAATTTGCATAAGGGACAGAAATATGAATGAGATTTTCTTGTAATAATTCCCAGGTGCCTGAGGGAACACCTTTTCCTACATGCAGAGGCCTGGAAAGGTCATTTTCATGTCATCAAAGGATGGCACTGCACATCCCGAGGGTGACTGCTCCCATCCTTCCTGGCCTCCACAATCCCCTACTGGCGTTTTGAGCTCTGGAGGTGCTCTGGGGGTGCTCAGGGTGCTCTGGGCATGTGCATTTGGGGGTACTTGGACGCACGCACAGAAAACAGAATTTCAATCGCAAGAGGCACTTTCAGAGAGACCCTCAGAGGTTTAGAGGTGTCCATGCTGGGCGCCTCAGACATTTTACTCAATCACAAAATGTCTGTCAATGCTTCAGCTTCTCTCAAAAAGAAGATCCTACCTCATTATGAAGATCTTCAATTTGTTCATAATAGTGGCTGTAGTCCTTCATACCAGTGGAGCCTTGCTTCTGGTACCACTCCCTGATGAGCTGCTCGAGCTGAGCATTTTCCATTTCCAGCTTTCTGACCGTATCCATGTAAGAGGCCAGGCGTTCGTTGAGGCTCTGCATGGTCAGCTTTTCATCGGTGGAGAGAATCCCCACACTCACTCCATGGAAGCCAAAGTTGCCACCGCCAAAACCAGCACCACCTCTGCTAAAGCTCCCTCCATAACCACCACCCGGTCCCATGCTGCCGCAGCCCATTCCCACTCCATAACCACCGCAGCCCATTCCCCCTCCGTAACCACCACTGCTCATTCCCCCTCCATAGCCACCACTGCTCATCCCTCCTCCGTAACAGCCACTGCTCATTCCTCCTCCGTAACTACTGCGCCTCATCTTGCTGTAAGCACCACCACCACCACCACCGGAGCTGCTCCTGGAGCTTCCTCCTCCACAACTGCTGCCAGAGCCCCTGCTGCCACCGCTGGTCCTTGCGGAGGCACAGGAGTGCACGCTGCCCCCGCCGCCCCCTGCACCGCTGGCGCTGCCCCCACTGCTTGCCCGTAGGCAGCTTTTTGAGGGCTGTTTGGAGCTGCAACTCATGGTGGTTCAGAGTCAAGGCTGGTCTCACAGTTGTCCTGGAATCATAGCTCCCAATTCCTCCCACCTGGCCTGCCTTTATACCCACTACAGTGAGTGGGTGGCACCGTCCGAGGCAGCACCTTCTTTCCATCTGCATTTGCAAGCCGTAGTTTTTTTGCCAAGGGTAATTTGCCAAAGGGAGATGTTTGACAGTGTCAGGAAGCTTAACCCATACTCAACGTGTTCGTGACCGTTTGTTTATTAACACAAACCATGTAATTTCTATTGGGTGGCTCTGAATTAGGTAGATTTTTTTGGTGATCTAGTCCACTGGCTTACAGTCATCTCAATTAACCCCATCCCACTCACCTCATCCTGCTCACATCTGTTTCAGCACAACAGTAAACTGTAGGAGCAGTAAGGAATGTTACGATCTCTCTTCTAATGTGGTCGTTCCTCGTGCTCTTTCCCCTTGCAGGTATTTGTCAAGGAATCCCAGCTGATTTCTTTATACTTAATGATATTTTAACAGGTTCTGGTTTATGGTTATCTTACACTGTATGCATCTTATTTTTAGTCCTTTTTTGCTTTTGAAAATGTATCACAGGGTGATTTTCTAGGTACATGGAACCACTCTGACGTCTTTGTAATTTCTCATAAATACTTGGTGAACACTGGTAAATATCATATGTGTCAGCAATCTATTCCAAACATACATCTATAATTACGTTTTATAAATAACAATTTAATTACAAAAAGTTGTGTGACAACAACTGGCAAACAGCAGTGGGAGGCTGTAAGGGCAGGATGTGTGGCAGCGTGTGAACAACCCTCCACGTGCTGGGGCCAGAGGCGGTGATGGGATGGAGCAGAGGCAGGGAAGGGAAAATGCAGTTTTGATGTAGAACGTATTCACTTAACCCCTAAAACAGGAACTTAACCTTTCTCTTCGGAATAACTGTGTGTGTATTTGCGTTTTCCCTTCAGTTTTGTTTTCCATTCATGGACGCATGATCAAAAGTAGGAAATCTTCGCTATCTTGCATCTTCTTCTTTTAAGATTGTCTCTTTTTCAGATACGTAGCAGTGGTTCCACTCAGCATCTGTTTTTTGAGCCCCTACAAACATGTGAAATGTCCTTCCTGCCTCCCCTCCTGGCTGTCCTCCTTCCCAGACACACGATCTTTACACAACACAGGGTGTTAGCCCCCATTCTGTGTAAGGTGAGCTCCCTGTGTGATCTCCAGCTTCTTGTATGGATTTGCTGCAGTATTCTCTGCTCGCTCAGCCTGGGTGCTGTTGGCTGTTGCTAATTTAGATGTTTGTTTGCTGTGGCTTACAGCAAGTGTTTGTGGAAACATCGCTTGATAAATCCCCTCCCAGCACTCCCTCGCCCACACAGCAGGGCACACCTGGAGTTTCATCTTCTGATGGACTTTGTCTCTGAAACGTGCCAGGACCCAAGGCCTCCTCAGGCTTGGCGAGATTTAAATCATGCTCTACAAGACTTAATGGAGAGAGGGTACGGTCACAGGGTACCCTCAGCGCTGAGATTCAATGGCTCTCAGGGAAAGCTGCCCTTGCACACTGACTGCCTGCTTCAGTCACAGCCAGGGACGAGACGAAGGGGAGGAGGAGGAGGAGGAGGAGGAGGAGGAGGAGGAGGAAGATGTCTTGGGGTGGGTGACACAATGAGGCCTCTTCCCTTTTCCTGTGATGAAACTGTCCCAGTTCCCGCCCAGCAGAAGACTGTAGACCATTTAAACCACCCGTGCACTCAGATGGCAGAGTTACCATGTGCTTCGCCGTAACATGGACTGCGTTGGCTGAACGCAGAAGCTGGGAGAGAACAAAGTGTTTTCCTCTGGATGCATGGCAGCAGCGAGGGTTGAGGCTGCGATGGCCTCCGTGGGGTGGGGGCCCGGTGATGGGTGCGGGGGCTGTGCACACGTGAGCCCCTATCAGCTCCCGTGCACCCTCTTTGTGAGCTCTGCATTCACAACCTCCTGGGCTGACGGATTTGAAGAAGCTGCTGAGGCTGCTGAGCACCTCTGCATGGAGACACCAGGGCTGTCACCCACCTCCTTCTGTGCCTCAGTGCTGGTGACCCCGCTCCCAGCCTCCTGCTTCTGGTCAGCTCCTGTCAGGGAAACTCAATTTGCTTATGGTGTGACCCAGAGAAGAGCTGCGGAAGGTCTGTCTGGGGAGTATGGCTCATTCTCATAATTACTCATTATAAACTAACTGCCATTATAGAACCATTAACCAATTTCATTAGCACCAGATAATCCCATAGAAGAATATTTCTCCATAGTGAAAAAGAAACCCAGTTCCTGAAGTGTGACTGTGCGGGAGGGACAGTGCTGTTCTCGTTCTGAGGACGTCCTTGGGGTTCAGCTGCCCAACACTGAGCGTGACGCATTCTCCTCTCCACTAAAATGGAAATATTGAGGGTTGTTTTCTTATCCTGATAAAAAGCTAGATGTTTGAAAACTGAAAAGTCTGAGAAAATTTGATTCAGATTAGTTGAAACCTATTAGGGCTCAATCATGTTTATTATTTAAAACTGCCTCAGCTGAGAGTTCTCAACAAAAAAAGTAATTCCCAGTCACTTACTCTGCAGTGAGGGCACAATGTGCTTTGGAATTGCCATTTCCCACAAACCCAGCTGTTGGGGCCTGGCAGCAGCTCCATCCAGAAACATTTGGGGTTGAAAATTTGGGGTCAGTTCCAGCTATTCCCAATGAAAAGCAAGATTTTCTCTACATGCATTTTTGTCATTAGAAATAGTTGTGTCAAAAAACTCTGTGCCCCATTCTATTGATGGAATCGGGTTTGTTCTCACTGCGCTTTGTACAACTGCCGTGATCCCCGGTGCCCACTGGGGGCATCTTCAAACCACAGCATCACTCGGTGGAGCAGCGCACAGGATGCGCTGATCATTGCTGCTTTGCTCCCGATGGCCCCGACCCAGCACACCCACCAGGGGTGATCGATCTGCTGCCCCCGGCAGTGGTGTCCAGTCCAGCAAACATCTCTTCTTCCGGAAAAAAACACAACTCCTGCATGCATTATATGTGCTCGGTTACTCATTTGTTATTGCACAGGCTGGTACTGACGAAACAATAGAGGGCACCTTCAAAAGTTCCACCACCCAACGGAGCGATGGTGATGATGATAGGAGCAGTAATTAGGTGAGTCAGAGCTTTACAGGACTACTACAGGACAAACTCTTTGGTGGGGAACTTTGTCGTTTTGGGTCTGAACAGCCCCTTGCACGGCTGACCCTGGGGTCTCAGCTAACGCCTCGTCATTGGCAAAGTCTTCGTCAGCAACGGGTCTGAACTGCATCTGTGCCCTGCAGCACAGCCCCCATGGCGAGACGGGCTTTCACTGTGCTCCCGCCTAGCGACGTGATGCAAAGTGTGCCAGGACAAAGCATAAACAGGTATTTGAAAAACATAAACAGGTATTTGAAAAACATAAACAGGTATTTGAAAAACATAAACAGGTATTTGAAAGACATAAACAGGTATTAGCAAATGGGTGCAGCAAGATTCCCCCACAGAGCCCATTTATTGAAATGGCTCTGCATTGCCCAGCACCGTGGGCACAGCGGTGGACAGCGGCAGGAGGGAAGGGCTGCTTCCCCCCCACCATGAGGCAGGTGGCTCTGGACAGTACGGAAATTGCTGTCTATTATGTAGCATTACATTTTTATATTATTTCAATTACATATTAGGGTACTTTGGGTTTATAGTCTAGCAGCAACTTGCATTTGGCCACAGATCGTGTTAGCCAAACTCATCCGCTTCTCCTGGCCTCTCAGTAAAATGTAATTCCTGCTTTAAGCAGTGCCTGACCTCAGTCCCAGGCACCGCAATGGAGCCTTGCTCAGCACCACGATGAAGCCCTGCTCACCTCCCTGGGGAGGCAGAACAAGAACAGGCGAGGGCTGAGCAGGACCAGGCGCTCAGGTCGGGGTTTCGTTGGGATCTGGTGTTAAGAAGAGCTGACACCTTATGGAGAGACCTGGGAAGTACCGAGATGTCTCCGTGTTTACCAGACTCTTCCTCTATTTCCGTGTTCTTTGGCACAAGCAGTATTTGCATGCAATGCAAATTCATTATTCCAGCTCCTCTGAAGTTTTTATCTGACATCAAATACAATGCTCATGAAAAACGTCTGCCTGAGTCTTGTCACAAGCTGGATACACTGCGGGGCTGCCCTTCGTTCTCAGGCAAACACAGGTTCCATTTTTCCTTCCTCTGATAAAAACAACAAAACCAACCCAGTATAAATATTTTCCCAAGTGCTTCATGTCGATATTCCCTTACGTGGTGGAAAGAGGCCAATGGCAGTGCCACGGCAGTAGAAAGGGAAAAATTCACAGGATTTTGGTTTCGATGTGAAACGTCTCTCCCGTCGGGGAGGGCTTCATCGAGCGCATAACCCGCGATTCGTGCAGGGTTCGTACAAGGGACCACAGAGCGGCCTGACAAAGCCGGCACCACCCGGGCAGGGGCCGTAACCTCCGCTCCCCACCCCACCCGGCACCGCAGCCAAATCCAGCCCTCGGCCCTTCCCGCTGCCCCTCCCAGCCCTGCCCTCCCCACGTCCCGCTGCCTCTCCAGCCCTGTCCACCAGGGATCAGCCTTGCTGCTTCTCTCAGAAGCCCAAATGCCGCCCTCCCCTTCCTCCGTCTCCTCCCCTTGCCCATCTTCCTGCTTGCTGCAGTGCTCCAGCTGCCCAGGAGCAGAGGCAGAAGTGCTGCTCTTCCAGGCGTGTGGAATATTCAGGAGTGGGATTTGGGGGAATGAACTTGCCTTTACGCTTCGAGTATTTTTTTTTAAATTTCTCAGCAAAGGACTCTAAGATATTTTACAGTTGGTTAGGTGTCAGAAATGTTTGTGCCATGCTATATAGGCTACTGAAAGGGCTTTCAGGCCATCTGCCTTTCCCATACTGCGGGTGTCTCTGCACTGCTATGGATCTCCATGGCTGTCTCAGAGCTTAGTGCCTGACTTGTATGGGCTGGTGACTGTGTATGGATATGCACTATCCTGAGCTTGCTTTTCCATGGAAATCTCTGTCACTGATCCCCTTTCTAAGCTCCACTTGCATCCTGTTCGTTGTTCTGCAATGAATTTTAGCACAATGCTCTGTGGGAAGCACACGGACACCTCCTGAGGGTGTCTGTGTAGATGAGCATGAACCTGACCAGTTCAGGTGACCCTTGCATGGATCAGCACTGGATTTCTAAAGGAACTCAGTCTCCAGACACAGGTTTCTTGATTGCATCAGGCAGAAGCAAAGTTTTATTAGAGGCAATTTTGCCCAGCAGGTACATGAGTGATCCTAACTCAGGTAACTTCTAGAGATTACAGCGTTTCGGAGCAGAAGCAGCAGAACAGAGAGAGTGGCCCCAAGAGGCCCCTTTAGATACAGGGCAAAGCATCGCAGAGTTACTTCTACTTTCTGTGCATAGGGGGGTGCGGTGAACATCGAGTGTTCGTGTTTTGTCTGTGGCTTTCTCTGTGTGTCATCGTCTAGTCCAGTCCTTAATCACAAATTCTCCTGCAGGTCACTGCAGAAAAAAATGTGGCAGCATTATTTGATTGGAACAGAGATAACATCCTTCAAATAACAAAAACGGGTCTATGTAGTGCCCTTATTTCAAGCATACATTCTGTTAAACAAGAGTAGTTGCTACACAACCCAGGAAAACCCAGAAATTCCCATAAGTAATTGTGTTTTAATGGGAATTTGCAGTTGTGAAGTTACTGATTACTCTCTGAGAAGACACCAGTAACGTGTCCTAGGAGAATGCGTTGTCTCCTGGCTTTATTACAAAGCAATGGACTGAAACCCCAGCTTTCCTCTTGTGGAAATGGCTCTTACCTTGTATATCCCCAGTCTTGCAGGTTGGCACCTGGGGCTGGCAGTGGGAGGCTGAAGTTGTCGTATAGGTGTGACTTGTCCTAATGACTCCTCCTCCTACACCGGTTCCTACTCCCATCCCTCCTCCATGACTAATGGGAGACATGCAGTGACAGAAATAGGGAATATTAGAGCTTTGCATGGTACTGATGAGGGCTCAAAGTATCAAACTGTCTCTTTTGTAGGGGTTCGGGTATTTTACACTGCATTCTTTTGTCATTTCTAGAGTTGCTTCTCATTTGTGCTCTCCTTTGGCATGGAAATGCAGTGCAGAGTGTTGCAATTAGTTCTTGTTTTGACAGTTCTTAAACGTCTTACTATAGAAAAGGGATTGTTGCAACTACTGACACAATACTAGTAGTTACAACGTTGTAATTAGCAGTTAACAGATTTGGTTCTCTGCCTTGCAGATCCCCAGGAGTAACATTTAGTTCAGATTTGAATTTTCCTCACAGTAAAGTTGCTCATGAGACAGTTTTTTCATCTCAAAGAAAGCATTAAGAGGGACTAAAGTTTATGCAGGGTTCCCAATCAGGAAAACAGATCCTCGATATTCCCATTTATTCCGTAGTGGATTTAGAGGTTTACATACATGAGGTCCTGCTGTCCTCCTTCCAACAAGCACCGGTAGGTCTGGATCTCCTGCTCCAGACGGCACTTGACGTCCAACAGGGTCTTGTACTCCTGGTTCTGGCACTCGATTTCCGCTCTGATCTCAGCCAACTGCTGCTCCACGCACGTGATCTGGTTCTGCAGCTCCCCGAGGAGGGAGTTGTACTGGCACTCGGTCTCAGCCAGGGAGGACTCCAGGTTATTCCTCTGATAAACAAGACAGCCAAAGAAACCAGAGTCACGTCAGTGTCACCTGTTGTTTCCAATGCAAAGGTGAAAGGGTTGCTCCCTGCCGTGATGCTGCTTTGGGTCTGGTAGCTTGTGCTGAGGATCCACCATTGAGCACGTCCGGCTGTACCCCAGCTCACACCCACAGTAACCAGCACCGACCACGTTCCGGCTGTACCCCAGCTCAGCACCACAGGGACCATCATTCACCACGGGAATCTCGCTCACCACCCACCTGGCTGCGCTGGGTCTGGCTGAGCTGGGCCTGGAGATCGATCTCCAGCGCTTGCAATTGGCGTCTCAGTTCCGTGACCTGGTTGTTGCACGTCTCTACCTCCTGCCCGCTTGTAATCACCTCCCGATTCACTTCCTCAATCTGAAAATCACCAATGGAGAATAAAGAACGTCAGAGAGTGTCTGTATAAATGGGAATTCCTTTTACAGCAGCAATGCTCAGGCAGTACCTAGCAAACAGAACAGGGAGCCGGGCGAGTTGTCTGGGCGTTAACTGCTGCCTTCAGCTGACTGCTCTTTTTACCAATCTCATTAGCCTTGTGGCTAGTAACTCTCTTTAATCCTAACGTGGAATAACTCCATTCCAGCAACACCACGAGGCCTTGCGGCAAATGCGGCTGCTCCAGATGGGACACAGCAAACTGGTCAGACAGGGCTGTGTCTGCTGTGGAGCGCAGGGTGTCATGAGTGCAGGCCTAGGGCTTCTTTGTGAGGGAAGAGCTGCTTATTGCCTCCACGTCTGCTTTCTGAGATGCTCTGGTGCCCTGAAACGTGCACACCAGTTTGCTTCACAGCAGGCGTTGTTGCTTACCTTGCACTCGTACCAATCCTCAACTTCCTTGCGGTTGCGCGCTATCAGTGTTTCATACTGGCATCTCAAATCCTCCAAAATCTGCCTGAGGTCTGGTCCAGGGCAGGCATTGACCTCCACACTCACATCTCCAGTTGATTGCTTTCTCAGACAATTCATTTCCTGTAAATACAACCCAGATCAGAAGTGTTTGATGGGAAAGCTGTGGTGTGAAAGTGTTTGATCATTACTTTTAAATTTAGAACACATTCGTGTAGGCAGAGTTTTATACCAGGGCCGTGGTGGTCCTGGGGACAGGGCAGGCCCTACCTCCTCGTGGTTCTTCTTCAGGCAGCAGAGCTCCTCCCGCAGCGACTCCAGCTGTGCCTCCAGGTCCGACCTGCAGAGCGTCAGCTGGTCCAGGACCTGGCGCAGGCCGTTGATGTCGGCCTCCACGCTCTGCCGCAGGGCCAGCTCCGTCTCGTACCTGGGGTGCACAGGAAAGCAGAAATTCAGAACAGCAACATCTCACAGTTGATGCAAAGATCTCCTTTCCCACCTGCCTGCTCCAACTGGATTTTGTTGTCTAAGCTGAACGCACTGTGCGTCAGATTTCTGCTCTGTTATGTGAAAGCTTTTCTTCCTCATCTATTTCTTTCCTGCTCCTGATCACTCTATGTTTGCTATCACTTATTCAGCTGCATTTCTGGTTTGCTGATCCCGATCTGCACTGGCCTGTGATGGAAACGTGCCAGCTGTACCACTAAGGACCGCTCCCTCCAGCGTCAGCCCCAACCCTCACCAACAAACACTGCTGCCAATGTTTCACCCAGGAATGCTCGTTAAGAGAGGGCTGGTGCCCAGGAGCAGAATGCGTTTCATCACTCCATGCTGCGCTAATGAGGTGTTGTAGCGAGACTTGCCCGGGTGTCCGTATGGGTGCTCTGGGGGTCCCCAGAGATGGAGAGGGGCAGGGGAAGGAAGGGGTTTCATGGGCACAGGGGACACTCACTTCACACGGAAGTCATCAGCTGCCATCCTGCTGTTGTCGATGTCCAGAATGATCTTGTTGTTGTCAATGGTTGCACAGACAATCTGGAAAAGAGCAGACCGTGAGCGATGGCTCGCTTCCCTCTGCTGTTACAGCCTGTAGGCGTATCTGGATTGCAGTTAGGAACTCTTCACAATGTCCTCTTCTGTTGCCTTCTCACTGAAGGAACCTTGTTCCTTGAGCAGAGCAGCCTCAGGGGGCGGCTTTGCCTCTGTAACCCACAGTCAGTGAAGGAAGGAGGCTGGGAGTTAAAGAGCTGTGAGATGGCACTCCCCAGTTCCAAGGTCTAAGACGCTTCACCAAGAAGGGAACCTAAAAACCTCCTTTCAGACATTAAGGCTCAGCTGACATCCGGGCTGGCGCGATCTTGGCTTCAAGCTTAAGGCTCTCAGGGAAGATCATTGGAAGGTATCTTCAAGCCTTAAGATCAGCCATAGCTGTCATTGTGGACCCATTAGCATCAGGTTCTTTGTGGCACTGCAGCAACCAATTCTAAATACTCAGCTTTTCTCACCTAGAATTTCTGATCTTTCATTTGATATAGCGTTTGATCTGCATGCTTTGCTCTTGCTCTGTAGTTCCCTTGGCTCTGCTCTTCCTACCGGGCTGACACCACTGCAGTTCCTCAGAGCACACTTGGTAATATCGTATTTATAATCATATAGCCAAAACACAATGTCACAAAGCATCCTTCTCCTTTTTAAGAGCATTATCCCACCCCTACCACCTTGCAGCATGTGCCCTTAACGTGTATTCACACACAACAATGTCACAGGGGAACTTGCCAAAACTTCTGTTTGCAAAGACATTTGACAGTCACAAAGTTACTCCTAACGATTGCAGCAGGTTCTAAACACAGATTCAGAAATAAGCTTTAACTAGAGGAGGAGCAACCGGAAAAGAGTTTTACCTGATTTTGCAGATCTTCGATTTCCTTGTAGTAGCAGCTGTAGTCGCGGGGCTCGCAGGAGAGGCCCTGCGTAGCATACCACTCCCTGATCCTGCACTCCAGCTCCGCATTCTCCTTCTCCAAGCACTTCACCTTGTCCAGGTAGGAAGCCAGGCGGTCGTTGAGATTTTGCATGGTGACCTTCTCGTCGCAGGACGACAGCAAGCAGTCGCCACCAAGCCCACCAACAACCACACCGCCCCCGAGGCCAAAACCCAGGCCGTTGCCATAGCAGTTGCCACCGCCATAGCTCCCACCAGCCAAGCTACCAACACTCAGTCCCCCTGCATAATTCACTCCTCCGCAGTAACTCCTTCCAGAAAAGCCTCTGCCACTGCCTATCCCATAGGAAGAAATCCGTGCTCCGCCACCACCACCAATGATGCAGCTGCCACCACTGCTCCTGCCTTTGCTAGACACCGTGATCGTCTCCTTAATGTTGCAACTCATGGTGACAGCGGTTGGAAATGCAAGCAGAAGCTCAAAGCAGGATGCACAGCTTGATATTAAATCAGACTGCGAGGTGCCTGCTGCCGCCAAACCCTATTTATACCTTCCCCAGTGGGTGTCACCACCGCTGCCTCTTCCCATGGGGCTGGCTACCCCAGCCGTCGGTGCCAGGAATAATTTCACAAAGGGAAGTTTCCTTTCAAGAATCCTGGTAGACGAGGAAGATACTTTACATGTCTCTTGCTAATTTCAAAAATGCATTAGCAATAATGTTTTATGAATCATCAGCTTTTTGTTTATGATGCAAACTTTACAACATTAAGCCAGGAAAAACACTGTCCTAAATTATATACCAGGAAGAAACCATTAAAGGTTATTGCATCAAAGAGCTCTTTATCTCTCATTAATTTATTTTCATTTTATTTTGAGTTGAATAAGCAGTTTCCATGCAAGGTGCTGATGTTGGAGTATGGAAGATGAAAAAGAAAGAATAAATCTGAAGTTTGACTCTCGAGTGATGTATGAGGAGTGATGTAAGAACGCTGTGGAAAGACCAGAGACCAGAGATTAACCTTTACGTCTCCCCGTTGACAGAATGATAACTGCAGAACACTGCTACGAGACAAGTGAGACCATGGAGGGATCACAGGGGTCTCTCAATGGACATGGACAAGGATTTTCATGTATGGTTTTGGCTGGGTTTGTTTCTTTATGTGGAGAGTATAAAGTAAGGTGAAAGTACTTCAAATATTTCCTGTTGTTCAGTGAAGGATATTTCTGCATCTTCATCCTTATGGACAGTGCTCGTTGCTGGGAAGGGTGGGTGTTTTGGGACAGGTAGTGGGAGTGGAAACATCCTGTGGGCAATGTCTCTGTCCGTACGTGCTGTATTCTAATGAGAGGTCTGGGACTCTGGTCCCAGGAATATAAGGACAGAAATGCTGATGCAGACGGCACAGCCCAGTGCAGTTCTGCACAGGCCTGGAGACGATGGGCTAAGTACAAACTGGAGCTTCTTCTCTGTCATTGATGTCTCCAAATCTCAGCTAGGCAGAGAAATCGAAAAGGAAGAATCCTTTCACTCCTCTGACATCAAAACCCAGGCTCAGCTCACGTTCACCAGATGTTTGCCTGGACTTGAGAGCAGTGGCCTTCTCTCCGGGACAACCCATTTCTGCTGGCCCTTGAGCAAGAGGCAGCGTTCCACAGCCTGCTGAAACCAACCGTTCACTGCTCCACCGGGAATGGGAGAGCTCAGACTCTCAGATCCTCACCCCGTGTCAGGACTGTGGATGGGAATAGCTTTTATTATGGCAAGAACATAGTCCCACTTAGTGAAGGACTGAAATAACCCAAGATTCATGATTTTCCTATCATTTTATTGTGCTTACTCTTCTTATTTCTGTTGAAGTGATTCCTCCCCTTATCTCTGCATCCCTGGATGTTACCTATCCAGTACAAAGCAAGTCAGCAGCATTCCTGTGCTATCTGCAGCAGACTGGAGACGGGTGTGGAGAGCCTTGCTCCAAGGGATTTGCTCCAAGACAAGGAGCGCTCCCCTGGCAGAGCCTGCAGTTGAACCCAGGTCTCTGGTGCCTGCCCGTCCTTCCAGGTCATGCTCCGTCAGTCCTGAGCACAAAGGAGCAGAGCTCAGAATGGGTAAAACTCCAATAAAGCCATGGTGGACAGCAAGGAATACCAGGATTTCATGACTAGGGCTGGGGAATGTAATGGGAGTCGGGGTGTGGTGGCAAGAATGAACCGAAACTGATGTAATGCCGCATGGCTCGAAGCTGTGCCTGTCCCGCGTGTGATTCCCCAGCAGTTTCCCAACTTTTGTCTGCTGCAAGCATCTTTTCTGAGCGAGCACGCATTCCTTCTGCTCCACACTTATCATCTTAGCACATCAGGACACCGCAAGCAGAAACACGGAGTGTCCTGCTCCTCTGAGGGAGTGGAGGGTGTCTACGTGCCTATTGCAGAGAGCGGAGGGGACGGCTGCTGCCCTTCCGAGACCCTGCAGTCCCGGTGGGCCTGGGGCCATGTCCATCAGCCCCATCTCTGTCTGCTGCGGGTCCTCAGCAGCTGCCTCTGCCCAGGATCCTCACACCGCACTGGCTTCCCCTCTTTCTTGCTGATTTTCCTTTTCATCTTCAGGAAATGGGTGCTCTAGTTCAGCCAAGATAAAATTAATTAATTGTTCTGAAGACCTTAATAAACATAAATTAATCTTTCCCTCCTATTTTCATTCAGTTATTTGAACTCATAAGCTTCCTGGATCTGCCTCATTAGCTCAAAGAAATATGGAAACCTAGTTTCCAGCCCAAGGTTTGCAGCTCCATAATTTGCAGCCCTTTAATATACAGGTTGTTTCCAGGGTGTTTTCTGCTGTTTATCACAAGCTGCCTTCTCATGAGCTGCTTTCCCGACGCATCCCAACTGGTAGGTCCACAAACAGCCTAGGAGCTGAGTCTGTGCACCCCAGGGCTTTCCAGAGGCATCAAGTCTGGATCATCGGCGTCCTCCTGGCGGTGTCATTAGGTCTCCTTCCCCTCCCAGGAATTTAGGACAGCTCCTCTGTGAAAGTGCATGCTTTGCATCTGCCGGACGTGGCAGGAAGGGTGGGAGAAACCCGGGAGGAGGTGGATATCAGCAGCAGTTTGCAGGGGAAGGGAACCAGCCCAGAGCTGGTGGGAGTCAGCCAGGGCTCGCAGGAGGAAGCAGGGAGCTTTTCTGTGCTGGGGGTAGCCCAGCACTTCTGGAGGGCTGAGAACTGGAAGAGCACCCATGCGGTATCTTTGTATTTGTAGAAATTAGAGTGTGAGGACTTGCAGACTGGGAAGGACTGGGGCCAGACAGTGGGGTAGCAGTGGGGTAGCTCTGTCTGCCTTTCACTGAACGGGGAAGGAGAAGGCAATGGGAAAGAAACAGGGAAAGATTTGCTTTCTGACTTCTCAGCCCAAGCTCTGAGAACGGCTGGGATACACTCAGAGGAGTCCAGCCAATGGAAATTTGCCATCATCACCATGCTCAGTCTCTCTTTTGATCTCCTGTGAAGCACTGCCCTTGCACGCCTACTGAGAGACTTCTGCTTGAGTCTGGGACTTTCTGTCGGGCTGGAACTGATCTTTAGAGATCTGATTTACAGTCTTGATTTAAAGACTTCTACCTATGGCCACTCCTCTGAGTCACTATTGCAGTTGTGCCAGTGCTGCGTTTTCTTATCTTGCTTTAGCCCCTGGATACTGTTGGGTTTAGCATCTGGTAGATGAAATAAAAGAAAAACCACTGAGACATCTTCTCTCCATGGTGTTTTGTAAGAGAAGGGCACCTTTCCCCTGCTCACTGGTACGTTAATGATGGAGCTTCTTCAGACATTCGCTACCTATGGGCCTAGAGATGCTGCTTCTCTGGGAGGGCTCAGGTTGTGTTCAGTCTGTTTCTGCAGCAACAGAGAAATTGGTTCCTGTGTAAAGAGCAGTGGCTCTGTAACAGCCACATTGCAGAGAGCAGCAGGAACTGCAGCCATGACCAGTGCTGCTCTGCTGTGAACCTGCGGGGTGGAGAGGACGTGTAAAACCTGTCGCTGCTTGGTTTTCTGCACCAACAGACAATTTAGCACCCACAACACCCTCCAGCTCTCCGTGGCTTTTAACTGCAAGTCTCCAAACCCAGATCGCCTGTGCAAGATCAGCAGGGCTGGTTCCCACAGTTTCACCCCCTGAAGTGCTCCAGGGCCGTGCGTTACCCAGCAGTGCCCTGGCTGCTCCGCAGGTCGGTGGGGACGCATGCATGCTGCCATGCCTGTCCATGCTGACTGGGCATCAGCTGCATGGCTGCTGCTCGAGGCCCAAAGCATGGAGCGATCCTTGCCTTGCTTGGGAGGTTAAACATAATGGCTCCCTCTGTCCAAAGGCACCATCTGGCTTTTTTCTCCATTTATTCACTGTTGAGCTGCACTTTTTCAGCTCCCAACCCGCCCTCACCACTTCTCCAGAGCAAGTATGGTTAGTATCAGTGAGATCTTTCAACAATTCCTGATGTTCAGGTTGAAACTCTTTGAAACAGAAGAGTTTACTGACCAGTAAATGACTCAGTCACTATGTGAAAATAGATAAGAAATAAACCTTTTCCCTCCAGTGTTTTTCCCGATGGGACTCCTATTAAAATGAAAGGGATAGGTCAGAATATGAGCCATGTCAGCAGAAACTGATCAGTTGTGGAGACGAAGGTTTTCTCTTCAAGCTCACCACAGTGCCCAGACTGGAACACAACGTACAAGGGGGCACAGCCCAGATGTGTCAGCACCAGACGGGGCCGAGCCGCCTGTCTCCAGCTGTTCCTTCACTGACTGACAAAATGTTTCTAGAACTGTGTTTGAGCACCATGCTCTGTGGGAAGCACACAGGCATCTCCCGAGCCATCTGTCTGTGTACACCATGCACGAACGGGCAAGGAACGCTGCTGACTTTGGCAGGGAGCTGCGAGCTCAGCCAGGCCCCGTTCCTGGCTCCCACTGGCACAGCAGCTTTGTTCCCAGGGGAGGAGGACCCTGACCAGTTCAGGTGAGCCCTGTGCATGGATCAGCACTGGGTTTCTAAAGGAACTCAGTCTCCAGACACAGGTTTCTTGATTGCATTGAGGCAGAAGCAAAGTTTTATTAGAGGCATTTTTGCCCAGCAGGTACATGAGTGACCACACTGGTGACTCCAGCAGTGGTCACGGCGGTTGGGCACACGCAGCGATAGACTGGAAAAAGCAAATAGCAAAATAAAGCAGAATGCGGCCCAACGCTCGGCTTATCCCTCTGACACATGGCTTAGCGTTGCTGAGCAGTACAGAAGAGCACGCTCCTTGCTCTTTGCAGAGGCGTACAGTAAATATTCTCTCTCTTCATCTGTGGCTCTGCTTCAGGGTTCTCTTGTGGGATATTCTTATTTCTTCACTTAATCACAAATCCTTCTGCAAGGCACTGGAGAGATCAAAGGAAACATTACTTTGTTTATGGCAAAAATAGATTCTTTCCCACACTGTCATTCCCACAGGTGATCATTTCACAAGCCAATTCAATTAGAATTTCAGATAAACGCTGTCCCTTCCTGGAAAGGTCTGGTTGTTGCCTGCCAGTCAGGCAGATGGGGTTTGGAGCACGGTCTGCCCTTGTACATGAAACTGCCAAACGGTGGAAGCCAAGACCCTGTCCCAGCAGCAAACAGCAAGAGAACGGCATCGGGCCCTGGCTGGAGCAGTGCTCCCACTGCCACTCATCCTCCTGGACCAACTGTCACCGTATTTCTTTTTCCTTCTTTCTTTCTCTCTCTCTTTTTCTCTTTCTCTTTCTTTCTTTCTTTCTTTCTTTCTTTCTTTCTCTCTTTCTTTCTTTCTTTCTTTCTCTTTCTCTCTTTCTCTCTTTCTCTCTTTCTCTCTTTCTCTCTTTCTTTCTCTCTTTTTTCTCTCTCTTTCTTTCTCCCTCTCTTTCTTTCTTTCTCCCTCTCTTTCTTTCTTTCTCCCTCTCTTTCTCTCTTTCTCTCTTTCCTTCTTTTCCTTCTTTTCCTTCTTTTCTTTCCTTTCTTTCTTTCTTCAGTTTGGCTGGAAGTTTCCCCCTGAAATAGCACCAGCAGTTTTCTGCTGGTATTCCCATGACTTCTGCTTTTTTTTTCCTGACTTCTGGGCACTCTGCTTTCTCCTGCTCTTTCCTTTGTCCCAGGTTTCATGTCAGTCCTTTCCCCAGATTCTCTGTGCCTTGCCCATCTGCTGACCCTGTCCTTCTCCTTCCTGTCCCTCTTCTCCTCCTCCCTTTTTGCAGTTCTCCTGCTCTCACTCGTCATAGCCACTCTGTGTCTCCATCGTGTATTCCCCAGTAGCCACAGTAAACCTTTCCAACAGCACCTGTGAGCTCTGTGAACTTTGCTGCTGCCTGTCCTGGTTGTGTTGGCATAGAGAAGACTGGAAACCTCACAGGGCGTTGTGGTCCTTACCTTGTATCTCTGCAGCTGCACAGGATGGCATCTGGGATGATGCCGTGTACGTGTGGCTTGTTCGGATGATCCCTCCTCCTCCTATTCCACTCGTTCTTGCAACTCCTCCTCCTAGCCCCGAAGACTGACCAATTCCTCCTTGCTGACTGAGAGGACAGGAAAATAACATTTCAGCAAAGGAAATGACAGATGAAAGAGAACTACAGGGTTTTATCGTCCCTGCTGCTCTCAGTCTGTTTCCGTTTTTGGCAGGCATGGGGCAGGGAAGCAGATTGTCCCCATCGATCACCCAGCACCCAGGTGGCTCCATGAGGGTGAAGGAGCCATGCTGTGCCTCCAGCTGTGCTCACTTCTATGGTAAAATCCCTGGGACACAGGCATTTTATTGCATCTTTAGGTGCATCTCGAGCATACTTACATGAGGTCCTGCTGCCCGCCCTCCAGCAGGCAGCGGTAGGTGTGGATCTCCTGCTCCAGGCGACACTTGACGTCCAGCAGGATCTTGTACTCCTGGTTCTGGCACTCCATCTCTGCTCGCAGATCCGCCAGCTGCTGCTCCACACAGGAGATCTGGCTCTGCAGCTCAGCCAGGTGGTTGTTGTAGCGACATTCTGTCTCGGCCAGCGAGGACTCCAGGTTGTCCCTCTGAGAAGTGACACAATACACATACAGGTGTGAGAAACACTGCACTGAAACTACGAGTTCTTACATCAAATTGTACCTGAGAGAGCTGAGCTGTACCCCAGCTCAGCACCACAGTGACCATCATTCACCACGGGAATCTCGCTCACCACCCACCTGGCTGAGCTGGGCCTGAAGATCGATCTCCAGCGCTTGCAATTGGCGTCTCAGTTCCGTGACCTGGTTGTTGCACGTCTCTACCTCCTGCCCGCTTGTAATCACCTCCCGATTCACTTCCTCAATCTGAAAATCACCAATGGAGAATAAAGGTGTTCAGGGAATGTTTACTGTAAGTCAGATTAAGTATTAAAGGAAGAGCAGAGCAGCTAGCAAAAACTATGAAATGGGAAAAGTTTGGGTGAACTCTCATGCCTCCTGCTCTTCTGGTACCACTGCTGTCCAGTTCTTCTCACTGCTTACTGGTTTGTGAAGGGTTCTCACCCCGAGTCTCACTAACACGCAGCAATTCCCGTCACCCCATGAAAGGACAGAAAGTGGCTGTGTCCCCCATGTCACTTGGTCAGTGTAAACCACAGCTGAAGGCTGTCCCAGTGTGCTCTGTGTGTGTTGTGTGGTTTTAACAGGTAATAAATCGCTGTGGAGCATTGCCTGGGTGTTAGCCTGGGGAAGGCAGAGCCGTGTGAATTTACTCACCTTGCACTCGTACCAATCCTCAACTTCTTTGCGGTTGCGCTCAATCAACGTCTCATACTGGCACCTCATCTCCTCCAGGATCTTCCTCAGGTCTGGGCCAGGGCAGGCATTGACCTCCACACTCACATCTCCTGTCGATTGCTTCCTCAGACAGCTCATTTCCTGAAACACCACCCAGATCGTGTCATTTTTCAGAAAGAAGGGAAAAACAGAGGGATCCGAGTTCCCCTGTAGGGAAGAGCAGAGCCCCTGGCAGGGACCCTCTTGAACATTCACAGCTCCTGGGTCACCGTGTCCCCTCCATCAATTGCTTACCCCCCACAACCATCACCCCAGGGGTGGGGACTGCAGAGAGGGAGGGTGCTGGGTCCTGCAGTGAACCCTTCTGACAGGACAGGACAGGGCAGGGCAGGCCCTACCTCCTCGTGGTTCTTCTTCAGGCAGCAGAGTAGCGTCTCCAGCTGTGCCTCCAGGTCCGCCCTGCAGAGCGTCAGCTGGTCCAGGACCTGGCGCAGGCCGTTGATGTCGGCCTCCACGCTCTGCCGCAGGGCCAGCTCCGTCTCGTACCTGGGGTGCACAGGACAGAGCAGTCAGTGTTGGACATCCTGACTTTACCCCCTGGAACCATCAGCAGTTATGGCAGCTCAGGAGCAGCGGGTGAGGGAGCTTTTCTGCAGAGCCTCTGCCCTGTCCTGCCCACGGGAGGCCTGGGAGCTCCTCGCCAGCTCTGTGGGGAAGGCGACAGGGGGGCACTCACTTCACGCGGAAGTCATCGGCTGTCATCCTGCTATTGTCGATGTTCAGAATGATCTTGTTGTTGTCTATGGTCGCACAGACAATCTGGAAAAAGAACATTCACTGTTGAATCTCTCCCCGCCAGCCCCAGGCTCATCCCTCATCCCCACTGACTCCTTAAACACTGTTTACTTAAACACTGGGTTGCGGGCATGGGGAGCTGAGGAGCGTGGGAGTCGCAGGGGCGAGCATTCAGTGAAGTACAGTGAAGGTATTAAAATGCTTAAATGTGATTTCAGATGCAGACAGTCAGGGGCGTGCAATTGGGGTTGTCTGGCAGCACCACAATCCACCTCAGCTTTTAAGTCCAAGTCTTACTTTCAGGCAAGAGGTTTAAACGCTTTGTTTCAAGACTCAGTTACAAGTCTGCCTCGTTCTGTCTGTTTCCTGGATTCTCTTCACTTTTTTCTTTGTGCATCGACCTCCTAGACTTTTTGCCAAACACACTTTGCAAACAAATGTTTTTAAGTTTACATTGCATATTCAAAATGTGTTACGGCAATGCTCTCTTCTTGTTTTTTAATTAGATGTCCTATATTTCCTAGCTCTATATGAAAGGGTAAACTTGTAAAAAAAATGGAAATAACATTCAACTGCAATTCTGCAGGACTGATGACAGAATAAAATATTCAGGCAAATTAATGCAATCCATTATTTATTTCTCTTTTAGTTGCTTTCTTGGCTTATATCTATTTAAACAGCTTGGCACAAACCTGATTCAGAAACACGACTGAGCCAGTCCAGATGTGTTCCAAGAACACAACATTTCCCCCTTTGAATGCATCTGATGAATAAAAGCAATGGAAATGATCCAAACACTCGAGGTTTTACCTGTGAGCCCCGGGGCTCTCCAAGGCAGCTGCCCTAATGGCTGTTTACAAAAAGCAGTATACAGCACTGCAATGTTACTCTTGATCACTGCGTTAAGTTGGGAACCAGCACCATGGAGAAGCTTACAAGGGAGAAAGCGGCAGAGAAGTGCAGTTACCTGATTCTGAAGATCCTCTATTTCCTTGTAGTAGCAGCTGTAGTCGCGAGGCTCACAGAAGGGGCCCTGCTTGGCGTACCACTCCCTGATCCTGCACTCCAGGTCGGCATTTTCTTGCTCCAGGCACCTCACCTTGTCCAGGTAAGAAGCCAGGCGGTCGTTAAGGTTCTGCATGGTGACCTTCTCGTCACCAGAAAGAAGAATGCCATCACCAGCAAAACCGCCTCCAACCACCCCTCCACCAAGACCCATGCCAAGGCCACCTCCAATGCCACCGCCAAAGCGAGCGCTGCCACCGCTGAATCCCATGCCTGAGCATCCTCCGAGGACAGCGGCTCCTAGGCCACCTCCATAGTTTCCACCGACCAAACTGCCCGTGCTCAGACCTCCTCCATAATTCACACCCCCACAGTAACTTCTACCCGAAAACCCTCGGCTCCCGCCTATCCCGCAGGTCGTGTATCTTCCAGAAGAGACGGAGGAGATCCGTGCTCCTCCACCGCCACCACCACCACCGATAACACAGCTGCCCCCGCTGGTCCTGCCCCTGAGCGAGCCAGTTGTCTGCTTAATACTACAACTCATTTTGGGGCCAGCTGCAGATCCAAGCCAAAGCCCAAAGCAAGATGCACAGCTCGATATTGAATCAGACTGCAGGTTTTTGTTGCCGCAGATCCCTATTTATACCTTTCAGAGGGGGTGTCACCTATGGGGTGTTTCTTCTTCCCACGGGGCTGGCTAGTCTTGCTGTTTGTGCCAAGAATAAATAGCCCATGGGCAGTTTCCCTCTAGAAATCCCAGTTCACAAGGAAGATACTTTACATGTCAGCAGCTTATTCCAAAAAGTAAAATAATGTTTTGTGAGTCATCAGCTTTTTGTATGATGCAAACTTTACAACAAGTCAAGAAAGAAAGTTGCCCTAGATTATGTACAAAGAAGCAGCATTGGTATTTATAACATCAAAGTGCCTTTTATCTTTTATTAATTTGTATTTATTTTATTCTTAGTCCAATAAACATTTTCTATCACATGTCATGGTAGAGTATGTGGAACAAAAATGGGGAATTAATATAAATTCTCACTTCTGAAATGCGTGAATAGCAGTGACTGTAGGAGTGAAAAGCCCAGGGCTGTGGTGGTGTCTGTCACCCAGAGCAGTGACAGTAACAGGTCTGATCCATGCTTCACTGGGACATTTCTGCAATCACTGAGGAAATCCCCCTGTGGGCTTAGTTCCCCAATTGTGGTGTGTGTTGCTCTGGTCCTGCAAACACAAGAAATCACCTTGCTTACAGCCTGCAAAGATCAGCCCTGCTGAATGCTGGAGGGCCCTGGATATCTGTGTGTGCAGTTCTCACACTGACTCGCTGTAAGCAGAAATGGATGAAGCACTGCTCTGAAGTCATTTTTCAACCACTGTAACTGCTGTCCGTGCTGCCTCAGTTGGTGGTGATCGTAGATAAAGCAAGGGATGACAGGAAAGGGATGACAGGACAGGGAATATCCATGGGTGATAGATCCAGTTCCCTGGGTAGGCTGAGATGTGATCCAGCAGCTCTTCGCCATTACTGAGATTGTGCTGAGCACAAAGTAAGCAGGAGAAAAGCTTTCTGCATTTCTTAACTGAGTTGTCAGAGCAGCAGCAGGGTCAGAACAGCCCGGCTGGCCCTGGGAGCACACCCCAAAACTGACGAGCAGCAGGCAGAGGAGCATTTGGAGCATGCAGCGTCGTTCCCCAGCAGATCGCTGTGGTGAGAATGCTCTGCTCTTGGGGGACAGAAGCTGTTGCTCCCCTCAGGGTGGGATTTCCAAGCATTCACAAGCACCTCTGACTCGAGTGTGTCCATGTGCACAGAAGCAGCTGTGATAACTCTCAATGCTGTGAGCAGACGCCTGACAGGGTGCTCTGGGAGCAGCCAGCACCTCCAGGCAGGAGGGCATGGAAACCCGCGCCCCCACGCTCAGCTCCTCTCACACAGTGCTGGGAAGGTGTAATGTGTGTGCAGGTGGCTTCTGTCACTGTGGTATGAGTGTCCCCAAGCACACAGAGATGCGCTCATCTTCTCACCAGCATGTGTGAGGACTCTCCACTCTCCAATGAGATAATATATTCCTTTGTTTAGATCAGAAATGATAAAAAGACGCCTACCCAGGACTGGCAGCATCCTAGAATATTCATTACTGTGTGGTGCAGAGAAATTATTTGCTCAGAGCTTGGATTCCCGGCTCAGACTGCAGTGCCTGAAATACAAGTCCATCCTCCCCCCAAAACACATCCCCCATGCTCCCCACACAGCCCAGGCTCACAAGAGAGAAAATCCCAGGCAAGAAGGAGTAAATCTGCCTTTCATCCATCGTTTTGAGGAATATAATTGAAGTCAGGGTGTGGCTGTAAGAGCCAACAGAAATTAATATAATGCTGCATTGCTTGGAGCTTTGCTTCTGCTCTGGAGGTTTTCAGAAGTTACTTAACAGCAACCAGCAGCGAGCGGGGCTGGGGCTGCCTTTCTTTCCCTTCCAGAGCCTTGAGTTTAGGAGGGGACACTGCAGACATTGACACATCTTTACGGGCGAATGAGGAGCACCTACACCTGCTTCTTTCAGCAGGTACCTGACAGGAAGAAGGAATGGGTCTCACTCCGCAAAACAAACTGGTTTGCAGCACTGAACAGCCTTCTACGTGTGTCCTGGCTGGAAGGCCCACAGGATACCGAAACACCTTCTACCAGTGAAGGTTAGAAACACTCATACCATCCTTCCAAAGTACTCATATTTGGGACATAATTACACTATTTGGAGCTTTACTGGGCTCCTGCCAGTTTCACTGGGTTGTAGAACGAGTGACTGATACAGCAAATGCATCCAAAAGCCAGTCCCTGAGTAACCAGGCTGTATTTTAAACCTGTTTGGTATTGTTTTCTCTTTCATGTGCTGGGTAGCTGCAGCTGTGTTTGACTGTGCAAGTCTAAGACATAAGGATGTGCCAGAAGGGTTTCCAGCCTAAATGTGAGACAAGAGGAGACGAGTGGTTGGGCACAGATGGATGTCAAGGAAGCAATGGGGGCTGTGAGCCAGGGCGATGAGCAGGGGCCTCAAACAGGGGCTACGGGAAACAGGAGAGGTCTGGAAGCAGCTGCAGGGTCGTGGGTGCCAGCACCGACATGGTGATGGGCAGCACAGGGGGTGATGCTCCATCTCCAGGGATGCTGCGGGAGCACGGCCTTTCTGCAGCGCCCGCCCGTCTCCTCCACGCTTTATTATCAGAGCTGATAATGTCTCCTGTGTCAACTACACCAAGGGTGTGTCTCGTTTGACAAACTTCGCTTTCATAAGCATTGCTTCAGTGATCTTTGTGCAACTACACTGGAATATGATGTTATCTTGTCACTTGTAATTACCATTAATAATTTGCATCATAGCCATTAGGCATCACTTATTAAACACCTCTTTGATGTGATACTGAGCCGGCTCCAGACCTCATGCTCCCATCTTTCAAATGCAGACCATGATTTTTTCTGGCTAATGACTCACTGGTTTATACCACCACGTTTAGCAAAACCCCTGTAAGGCAAGTGAAATAATTATCACCGTGAGTTTGGTAACAGCATCATCCCAGGTTTAAATACACCTCAGAGACCAAGGTGATTGCTCTGCTTCAGCTCCTTTCTTGCTGACGGTTCACATCTTCAGTCTACCTCTGAACATTTCTTAGAGGTGAAGCTCAGCAGAACACAGAGGTGAACAGGAGCAGATTTCTCCCCGCTGCAGCTCACGATCTTCCCCATTCACTTTGTGAAGGGTTTTAATTTCCCTCCAGCGCCTGCCAGACGCTGCCAGTGCAGCCCAACGCTGGCGTCTCTGGGAGTGCTGGGAGTTACCACGGCTCGGAGGAGCACCAGGGAGTTTGTACCAGGGCAGGCAGGGATGCTGATGGGATAACACAACCGCAGCGATCTCGCAGTGCAGGTCGGGAGTGAAAACACAGCATCAGCCACAGTCCCTGGCTCCCCAGAGCTGCTGGGGTCACACCAGAACCCTGCACGCAGCTCCAGACCATGCAGTGGTGCAGCAGAGAAGGCAGCCACAGCGCAGAGCAGCCAGAGCTTCCCCAGGGCGCCTTCTTTTTACCCTTATTTCATACCTGTGCTAAAAGGTCTCTTAATTTCAATACACTTTCAATATGTGGTTCATACTGGCAGTTTAAATGACATTATGCAGTGCACTGAGCTGAGAAATCTCCTGCTTGATTACAGTAGCAGTTTACTCATCTGTGTAATTCTTTATAAATGTTACACAAGCCACTAAACAAAAATACAGACCCCAGAGATAGTTACTGTGGGTGAGACTGTACCTGTGTATTTTATAAAATAGACTTTTATAGAGAAATTATAGTTTCTACATCACCCAGGAGTATGGGAGCTATTAAAGCAGCAGAGTGCCTGTAATCCGGTGTAATTGCCTGTGCAGCATCATCCTTAACCCATGGCTGGTTTCCAGCACTGGCAATCTGCAGATCTGGCTCTTTTAGTTTTGTTTCTTCACTGATGCCTTAAACCTCTGGCGTGTTCACTCAGGGGTTTTTTCGAGTCGTGCTGTAATCCCCAGGTACCCGCTCCCTCCATGCAGCACAGACCACGTCCCTGCAGCAACCCCAACACATTCCACGATGGCCGTGGTCCTGGTGCTGACAGAGCTGCTGCGCCCCCCCCACCTCCTGCTGGGGCACCCACTCCTGCTCTTCTCATCTTTAAATTCCCCTCCCAGTCTCATACCTTCACCCTGAGTCTCTGAGGTTCTTCCTTTACAGGATTTGCACATAAAAGTGAACAGCAGGAGCCCATAGGAGCTGTGCTGCCGTGCTGGTGTGAGTGGGGATGTGGCATTTGATAGAGGTTTCCCTGCAGTCGTGTCCCACATCTCAGCTTGTCTGGTTGTCCCAGGCACTGTCCCCACTGTGTTTCATTTATCACCTTTTCCCCATCTCTTCCTGTGCCATTTCCACAGTCACCATCTCCTGTCGCTGTCTGCTTTATAAACTTACTGGGCAGTGAGGGCATCTTTTTATTTCTGCGCTGCATTTAATGCTGTGACCTTAAAGTAAACACTGAGGCAGGTGAAATAATACTGAAATGTGTCATGTAATTAGTGCTGCAGGCACAGGAGATGCAGAACTTAGCAGAGAAAGTGTTTAACACAGAGCCTTGTCCAGAAGCTCATTAGATCAATTACCCCCAGGGCTAACGAGAGTCTCTTGGACAGAGATGGGGGGAGACCACCTCAGAGTCCTTGTGGAGCTGGGCCGTGGTTACAGCCCCTGTCCCTCTGTTCTGCTGTGCACACAGGGACACGGCTGCGGCTTGGGGCTGAGAGCTCAGAGCACGGGAGGTGACACAGGGGCAGACCGGGCTTTCTGCAGGGCAGAGACCTGCAGCAAGAGGCAGAAATCCATCCTTGCCAAGAGAACAGCTGTCGGTGGCCAGGCTTTGCCGCGTCCCTTGTTGTCATTCAGAAACGTTTGAGCTGTTTCTTGCTTTAGAAATGGATATGAATCCAGCCTCATCCTATGCCCTGAACTCTTCCCGTTGGAAACCTTCAGTCAGAGTCAGGTCAGTCCTCAGTATTTGGGCACAGAGAGGCCCCAGAGCCCCGCAGCAGTGACCCCAGCACCGCTCCCAGCCCCACGCGTGTCGGGCGCTGCTGCAGGAGGAGGGACAGGTCCTGAGCCTGGGCTTGCGCAAGCAGCAAAACACAGTCGTGTTCCTCACTGTGCCCATAATTCCTTTCTCTGTGGTAATGAAATGCCAGCATATTTTTTTTTCAGGCTGTTTATTGTATCTTACTTCTAAAAAATGTCTCTCCCACGTATTAATTTGTCTCACCCTTTTATCTTCCCACATGTTGCCAGCTGGTTCTTCCTGTCTGCCTTTTTTTAAAATCCTAGAGGTTCTTTATTTAGCATTTTCTCTGGGAATGGTTTTCCTCCACCAGAAGGGTGTGTCGAGTCCAGCAGAGCCCTGCTTTCAAAATTACTACTTCAGAATTATTTGGGAAAACTTGTTGTTCTTGATTTTATCCTGTTACTGCACATTCATAATAACTCCAAGCTGCTGTGTATTAAATGTAATATAATGTAACACAGATTATGTTACATTCTATTCTATTAGCACACACCTACTTTAATGAAACTGGGTTTTCTCTCAGCTGTCTCCTTCAATAGCAGATCGTCTCTGCGACTGCATTGAAGCGCCCTCCCTGTGCTCTGTCCGTCCTCCCTGGATGTTTCTCTCCTCACCACCTTCTACCTCAGGTCTCAGCATCTGCATCCTCCCCAGCAGCAAATGTCCCTTTGCAAGCACCAGCTGCTCCCTTTCCTCCATCTTCTCCTTTTCCTCCATCCTCTCCCTTTCCTCCATCCTCTCCTTTTCCTCCATTCTCTCCTTTTCCCCAATCCTCTCCTTTTTCTCCATCCTCTCCTTTTCCTCCATCCTCTCCCTTTCCTCCATCCTCTCCTTTTCCTCCATCCTCTCCCTTTCCTCCATCCTCTCCTTTTCATCCATCCTCTCCCTTTCCTCCATCCTCTCCTTCAGCAGGAGCAGCACAGCAGATGAGAACAGTGCTTTTTTTTAATTTTTAATGACTTGCAGATTTAGATCAGAGGTGGATTTCTAACCAAAGGTATAACTATCTGCATCACCATTTTTTAAATACTTGTGTGTTAATTTACTTGCAGAAATTATATCCCAGGTTCCAGGCTGTGTCAGTAGCGGCAAAGGTTTATTCGAGACAAGCGGTGGTGGTTGTAGAACAGAGGAGCCCGGTGAGGCGCAGGGGTGGGATCAAGCGGTGTCAGAGGATGAGGACAGCGTGGGCGGCACAAGGGCAGCCGCTCTGCAGGGTCCCTTCCGATGGGTGCCATAAGCAGAACGAGAGCTGCCGGGGTGGCTTTGCCTTGCTTTTTCCAGACGGTTTGTTCTTCCCGAGGCTCCTCGGGGCCGTGCAGGGGGCGCGCAGGGAGCTCGGGTCTGCGGTGACCTGCAGAGGGACAGCAGGCAGCGGTGCTTTGTGGAGGGCTCCTCTGCGTGCCGTGCCTTTCCCTTGCATCCCCTGCTCTGGCATCGACCTCTCCTCTCCCTCTTCTCCCCAGCTTGCTCAATGTTTTGCACTTGGTGAAAGACTTGTGACTGACAGATCTCCTCTGCCAGTTCCTCATTTTCGTGTTGTTCTGAAGGTCTTATTTAAACGCATTCACTACTGTTAACCCCCCAGTATCAAAAATACTTTCTATGCATAGGTTTCTAAATGCCCCGTAGCTGCATCCCTCCCCACTGCTTTCCACCGTAGCCCATTGATCCCTGTGCTCTGCCAACAGACACAACGTGATGCTGCATGTCTGCCTCCCTGCGCTGCCTCTCTCCAGGGAAAAGAAACTCCCTCCAGCCCCTCTCCATCACCCAGAAAATCCTGGAGATCCCTCATCCTCCTCTTCCCAGGTACGAGCAACTCATGGGCACTCTTACGGGCTGCTGGAGGACACCTCACCTTGCAGTACCTCGCCCTGCACCACCTCACCCTGCACCACCTCACACCTCCTCACCTGCACCTCCTCACCTTGCTGACAGCTCCTCGGCCCGGCTCAGGGCAGGCACGGCTGGCACAGGCTGCCTTTGAGCCCCCCGCTCCTTCCAGCCGCTGTGGCAGAGACTCCTCTTCCCACCGACCCTCTGGAAAGGAGACAGCTCTGGTGACAAAGCCCCCGCACCCCCACCCTGCGGCTCTGCCCCGTGACCCGCAGCTGCTCGTGCAGTGGCATTTGCTGCATCCCCTCGGTCACTGTGGGCCATTTCCCCTTCCAACTCGGGGTCGTTAGGAGCAGCAATTATCACGCCCTCCGTCCTACCCATCTGTGAGCAGCTCTTGCTTTTCCATCCTGACACACCCAGGGTTACCAGGGTCTCTGCGCTGAGCTCTGACAGCATCATTTTAGCCGCTGCAACTGGTGTTTTGGAACAAAACATTTTCATGTAACTAACTGAGGACTGGAGAGTGCAGGAGAGCCCACCTCAGGGCAGCACCGTTAAAATACCTCTCCAGACTGATGGAGCAGGTGGGTGCTCAGGCCGGTTATGTGTGTATGCACCATTTATGAGATTAACAGCAGGCCTCGCTGTTTCAAAATCTCAGGCAGTGGTAGGCAGGGAAGAGCCAACTGCTTTGCATACAAATTAAATTTCCCAAAACTTTAATTAAAATTGTTGTGTGAAACTGAAGATGTTTAGGTAATTTATTGTTTCAGTTAATTTAACTGCCAGTCCCCAGTCCTCTTGAGCTGTGGCAGAGCCAATGAAAGTTAAATGACAACGTCCATAAAGGACTTGGCCCAGCGCAGGGTGAAAACCACCCCTAGTGGGGGGCAGTGCTGCTGGGCCTTGCCTGGGGGCCTGGGACAGCACTGGGGACCGGCCCAGGAGCAGGAAACGGTCTCTGGCTTGATCCCTGGACACTGAGCAGAGCCAAATCCTCAAATGCCTCGCGGTTTGCTAACAGGCCCTGTCTGGTAACAGGTCCCTACTGGTTCCTCACCACAGTGTCGCTTTTACCGTTTGTATCACACATTTTCGTATCTCTGTAAGTCAAAGCATGAATTTTACTGTGCGCGGGTCTGTCCGTGCTCTGCGTACATGAGGTCCTGCTGCCCGCCCTCCAGCAGGCAGTGGTAGGTCTGGATCTCCTGCTCCAGGCGGCATTTGACATCCAGCAGGGTTTTGTACTCCTGGTTCTGGCACTCCATCTCTGCGCGGATTTCTGCCAGCCGCTGCTCCACGCAGGAGATCTGGCTCTGCAGCTCAGCCAGGTATTTGTTGTAGCGACACTCGGTTTCCGCCAGAGAGGACTCCAGGTTTTCTTTCTGAGAAAGGAAAGAACACAAAGGGAGCGGGGTGCGTGGTGAGCTCGGCCCCTCTGATTCCGGGTATGGCTGTGCTCACACAGCTCCCCAGGAGGGCTGGGGAGCCTGAGGTGGGATCAAGGGGCATCACTCACCATGGTGAGCTGGGCTTGGACGTTGATTTCCAGGGCCTGCAGCTGACGTCTCAGCTCAGTGACTTGTTTGTTGCTTGACTCGATCTCCTGGCTGCTTGTGATCACCTCCAGATTCACCTCCTCCACCTGCCAAGTTAGAGAAAAGCAGCCCCTTCCTCACCTTGCCACAGCTGGGCCAGGGCCTTCACCGCACTGCTCGTTATTTCCAGATCTGAGCCCCATTTATTCTGCTGTGACCCTGTAACACCATGCAGTTTCTCTGCCGTGAGCAAAGAGCACTGAAAGCAGGCAGTACCATCAGAGCACATCCTTGACAGAACTGCTGATATTAAGTCTCCTGTGAGTTGTTAATGTCTCCTTTTCCCCTTTTCCCCCAGCAGCAGAGCCGGTCTGCACGCACGTCGTACCTTGCAGGCGTACCACTGCTCAGTCTCTTTGCGGTTGCGCTCCATCAGCATCTCATATTGGCACCTCAGGTCCTCCAGGATCTTCCTCAGGTCTGGGCCAGGGCAGGCGTTGACCTCCACACTCACATCTCCGGTTGCCTGCTTCCTCAGACAGCTCATTTCCTGCAGCGAACACATGGACCAGATCAGCCATGGTCACACTGGGGGGTTTTCCTTCTTGTGATTTCTCTGAGGGCAAGGGGCAGCCTCACCTCCTCGTGGTTGGTCTTGAGGCAGCACATCTCCTCCGTCAGGGCCTCGCACTGCAGCTGCAGGTCGGTCTTGCAGCTGGCCAGCTGGTCCAGGACGGGGCGCAGGTTGCAGATGTCCGCATCCACATTTTGCCGGAGACCACACTCGGTCTCGTACCTTAAGCCACAGACAGAAAAAGATGGTCAGCGTGTCTCAAACCACAGCGAGCCCTGCAGTTCAGTTTGTTAACACCAAGTCCTTTCACTTCAGACACACAATGCCACGGACATCGTCAATGGTGCGCTCGCCTTTCCCACAGACCTGCATTTTAATGCAGCAGCATGACAAGCAGAGGTTCAGGACATCCCCATCCCTGTCACTCACCGACCCATCCACGTGCAGTGCGGACCCCAGCCCAGCACGGGACCCCACTCACTTCACTCTGAAGTCGTCTGCAGTCATCCTGTTGTTATCGATGCTGAGCAGGATTTTGTTGGTATCCATGGCTGCGCAGAGGATCTGGAACAGAAAATGCAGGAGGGAGATTTGGGCTTGGGGCTTCTCCTGACTACAGAAGGCCTTGGAGGAAGCATCCACCTAGGATGGATTTTTATATACTCATTTTATAATGGTTCCATATATTGGCATTATTAATCAGTGAGATGGCATCAGATTGGGAAACCCAAGTGCCAGCTCGGTGGAGCAGGCAGTGCTGAAACCTTTGTTCTCTGTAAATGCAGTGTCCTTCACCCCCAAACCATCCGCTTCACATAAAATATTGCTTCCCAGGCACTGCAGAGACATAGCTATGGCCTCTGCCGTTGGCGCTGGTGTATCCCCACGTGAGAGCAAAGCCCAAAGACATAGCAGAATTTTCTTGAAAGGCAGTGCTTTACCTGGTTTTGCAGGTCTTCAATTTCCTTGTGAAAGCAGCTGTAGTCACGGGGCTCGCAGCTGGGCCCCACCTTGGCGTACCACTCCCTGATCTTGCACTCCAGGTCGGCATTGTCTCCTTCCAGGAGCCGCACCTTGTCCAGGTAGGAAGCCAGGCGGTCGTTGAGGTTTTGCATCGTCGCCTTTTCGTTGTTAGCAAATAGGATCCCATCGCCGCAGCCGGCGCTGGCCCTGGTGAAGCCCCCGCCGACGCCTCGGGCGCAGATGCCTGCACCGCCAAATCCCAGGGCAGAGCAAGCCCTCTGGGTGGCCCCAAAGCTCCCACCGGTGGCACTGCCGGTGCTCAGCTGCTTCCCAAGTAATCCCTCACTTAAACTGCCACCGGAAAAGTTGCCCCCCGCGCCGCAGTCGTAGGCAGCGTGCCGTCCCGAGGAGGAGGAGGACACCTTCCTCCCGCTGCCAGCCCCCAAGCTGCCTGTGCTGCCCCGGCCTTGGGGACAGCTCGTGATGACCTGCCTGACCACACAGCTCATCCTGAGCGCACGACGATCCCACTCGAGCACAGAGCAGGACGTGTGAGCACTGCGGGATCCGACTGCGATGCCTCTGTCCCCAGTCCTCTATTTATACCATTGCTCCTGGCCGTGCCACAGGAGAAGGGCTGTTTGTTCTTCCTGCCTGTCACCTGGCTCGTTTTCCTTTTTTCCAGCCGGAAATATTTCCCCAAAGGCGTTTGTCTCCAGAAATCCCACAACAGAAAGATGCTTTGGTTAACAGAAGCGTGTTTCAAAACTACATCAAAAATGTTACTTCCTGAATCATCAGGTCTGACTTGTGATGACAACCGAACTACAGTGGCACAAAAAACAACGATACCCAGGAGTGCCTGAGGAACAAAACACCATAGCAATTACCCATCCCTGACGTGGGCGAGTCTACCTGGAAAGTGAGAGCTGTGGGAAAGCCATCCTTCCCATCCGCCGGTGCCTGCTGGGCCCCTCTGTGCCCCCTCCTGCAGCTGCGGGGCGACCCTGGGGACCGGAGCCAAGCGACCACCCCGGGCTGTGCCACCTTTGCCTGGGCACCACAGCTGGGGCTGTCCCCTTCCACAGGGTCTGAGTGGGGACCTGTGGCGGTCTGCGTCCTTGGACATCGGGATGCTCTGAGGAGCAGAGCAGGAGATCGCCCTGGAGAGTGCCAGTGGCTCTTTGTTACCGCTTTTTCTCCCACATCCATCAAAACATCTCCTTTCAGAGGGGAAATCCCATGGTATTTGTTTGCTGCTTTCCAGGATAGACAAAATATTCAAATATTTATCCAAAGTAAAAGAGAAATGGATATTTCCTGTTTACCAGATGTTGCAGTCAACTATGAATATTCACAGCCACATAAGGTGTTTCATAAGATTGTGAATTATGTGGGGAATTTCAGAAGCAGCCTGATCCTGTACAGGTCTGACCCATTTCCAACCAGCACCATGGACATTCTCCAAAGGCAATCTAGGGAATATGTTACATTTAGAAAAAAATAAAAGGAAAACAAACAAACCACCAACGAAACACTAGAAAAGGTAATTTTAAAAAAAGTTATTAAGCCTATTTTTCAGTCTTGGAATGCTGAACTAGGGGAGAAGGAAAGTAATTAAAATGTTTTGTCAGGTGAGCTGTTCATTTTATTAATAACATGAATACAGCCATGCTAATATTGGCTGCCTTTCACCCGTGTGTTGTTCAGCTTTGGTCCTGGCATGCAGCTCAGCAGGGCACAGCGCACAAAGGATGCGTCAGGCACAGCCGGGCTCAGCAATGCTGCTGGTGCCGTTTGGGTGAGTTCATTAGTCCTGATTTTATCTGGCCGCTGCGAATCCAGGACACCTTAAATGTGGGGTGGATCCTGTGTGCGTCCACACTTTGTTACAGCTGTAATGAGCGAGGGGAGCCTGCGCCGCGGTGCTGCGGTGGTGCCGTGGTGCTGTGGTGCTGATGCTGGGGCACAGTCAGGATCAGCCCCTCTGCCCACTGAGCCCCATGAATGTGCAGGGGGCATCGGGAGGAGAACGTGGCAGGATCTGCCTTTTTCCATACAGGAACTGTAAAATCAATGCTGAGCTGACTTTTAATTTCATTTCATGGAGACACATACAGTCCTTCATTTTTCAGTGAGAAAAATTAAAACATTGATGAATGGAGGCTTTTTCCAATTACTGAAAACTAAACAGAGATGTCCGCGTTTCCTCCTTCGCTTTTGAACGTCAGGCATTGCCATGGGTCTCTGTAGCTAATGGTCAACAGAATTTCTACAGCTTTTTACAGGGGAATAAGGATTTCACTCTTGATTTTACTGGATTTGTGTGTTCTTCGTGGTAGTTTTTTTCCTTTCTCAAGTTTGAAATCTTTATTAACAGCAGCTCTTGCTTTTACACCAGAGCATCCCTCCAGACCTGTAACCAGAGGGGTTACAGCCCTCATTTCATTACAGGAGATTTTCATGTTTTTAACCAGGAGACCTGCTAATGACGGTATCTACATAATAGAGGGCTCTTTGCAGAAGGCGTTTGCTGCCTGCCAGACTGAAGCTGAAGATGGGATTTGCTGAGCGCAGCATCCCCGGGCGATGCCTGCGTGGAGCCGGCCCGACTGAGCTGGGGGCCACAGGGAAGTGACAGCGTTTTGGGAACGGCAGCGCAGGCCTGACTGGGAACAATCACTGCTTCGAGTAAGAAATGAGCAGAAAAACCTCCCCCAGGCACAGGAGCCGTTCCCATTGCATGAGCTTTGTGAAGCACGGAGAGGCAGGAATTCAGCCTCAGCTTCACCTCTGCGTCTGGTGCTGTGCTTTGCAGGGGGACAGGGATGGGGCAGGGGTGGGTGCTGTGGCGTATGTCCAAGGGTTGCCCCACTGCACAGAGCACCGAAAATGAGCAAGACTGATTAGACTCCCCGCAGGGAGAGTAATCTGGGGATGTTCTAAGGCTTAGGACTGTGTCTCGAACGAATGCATGTGAAGTGCAGAGAGCATGATGTGCCCCAGGGAGGAGATCCGGCCTTTTGCATTATTCCAAGCCCGCCCTGAGTCACGGCCGTTTGCCTGTGCCAGGGAACCTCCCTAAGACCTGGGGACACAGACACAGCACCAGCCCTGCGGTCCCCGGCTGAACCCCCGGCAGCTCCCGTCTGCTCCTCCGTGGCTGCGTTTCAGTGTTTCCCCTGTGGACAACTCTAGTCTTTCCCATTTACAAAGTATTCTCTTATCTAGCCACTGATGTAATTGTCGTTCCCTTTTTCCTGTGCGTTACGGGCTGTACAGACTGATCGTGTCTCGCTGATGGCACCAGGCGCGCCAGGGTTCTGATCCCAGCTTTGCAAATCACTTGGGGCAATCGCTCAGTTCCCCAATCTGAATGTCATGCTCTGTAGGATGGAAACAGTAATAACAGGCATCCTCCTCCTCAAGGGCACTGTGAAAACAGCTGTCTGGTGCAAACGTGGAGCTTAAAGATGGGAAACAGGGTACTCATTTTAGGTGTAATTCAGTGTGAGTGTATGCGCGATTACGTATTTAGTCTGACACTGGCACATCCTACGTATCTCTCTCTGTCTCAGCTGATAAAATACCTTTCAAGGACATTCTTGGTTTTCCTTTTTTGTTAAGTCATCTGGTAAAGTTTCACCATTTTTCACTGAGGATTTGCTTCGGTAACTCCTCGCTCAGTCCTGACAGGGCTCTTCTTGTGCTGCATCTTGCAGAAAATGTGAAAAATGCTCTCCAAAAGCAGTGTTTGTGCACCTCTTGGATGTGATCATTTGTCCGTGCTTCACAGACACAAACTGTGTGGTTTGGTGTGTTCTGGTTTTTGGAAAGCTGTCTGTGTTCAGGCACTGGGGCATTCTGCAGATGGCTCAAGAGTTAAAAAGCTGCCACTTACACCTGAAGTATAACAACTCTCTTCTGATGGCAAAAAATAGCACATTAGCAGTTTAATCAGAATTTCCCTTGCCCATTGCCATAAAGTCTGAGGCATCCTGACGCTAAAGTACATTTTTGCTCGATCTAATTTTATTTTTGGGGTGGCTGTAGCTCCCTTGGGCTGGAAGCGTTCCCGTTTCTGCAGGGAAGGTCGGTTGTGCCAGCGGAGACAAAAGCACAGCACAGTCCATGAACTCTGTGCCCTGGTCTGTGCTTCATTTCCTCCCCTTTTCTCTAATTGCTAAACAGTAATAGCGAATGATAGCATCTCCTCACACTCCCTTTTCTGGAAAGCGCTGGCAGGTTCCCCACTTCTTCGATCGCCGTCGCTCTGCTCTGCTCTTGTCACGCCCCACCGGAGCGCATCGGCGCAGGGAGCGCGGCTGCGACGCCTGTGCGGAGGCTGAAGGAGAATGAATCAGCAGTAATAACCAGTAATAAGAGACAAATGTGCTTAACTGCAGCCGCAGAAGCCCCTTGGACATCATTACAAGCTGATTTACTGTAAGCTTTTACCTTTTCCTTCATCTAAGGCCCAAATCTGTGTCTCGAGGGGGTGAAGAACATGAGGTCCATTTCCCAGGTACCGCAGGCTGAAGCATCAGCTGGGTCTGAGTGATTCTGTCAGGCTTTTGAGTCTGAAATAATTTTATAAATATATAAAGGGTGAGTGTCACAAGGATGGAGCCAGGCTCTTCTTGGTGACAAACAATGATAAGACAAGGGGTAACGGACACAAACTGGAACACAGGAGGTTCCACTTCAATTTGAGAAGAAACTTCTTCTCAGTGAGGGTGACAGAGCCCTGGCCCAGGCTGCCCAGAGAGGTTGTGGAGTCTCCTTCTCTGCAGACATTCAAAACCCGCCTGGACGCCTTCCTGTGTAACCTCATCTGGGTGTTCCTGCTCCGGCAGGGGGATTGGACTGGATGAGCTTTGGAGGTCCCTTCCAATCCCTAACGTGCTGTGATTCTGTGATTCTGTGTTTCTGTGATTCTGTGATTCTGTGATTCTGTGATTCTGTGATTCTGTGATTCTGTGATTCTGTGAAATGGTTCCCTTCCTCCCTTGCCCACAAGACCCCTTTGGTGGATGCACGAGCAGCGCAACACCCTTGCGTTCCCAGCTCTGCAGAGGCAGACCTGGCCCTGGCCGCTCGTGCAGAAGCTGCGTCACTCAATGCTGGGTGGCAGCACGCCCGCAGACGGTGCTGACACACGGTAACAGCTCCTGTGCTGGAAGGGTTTAGCAGCGATCTGCTAGATGGCATCGAGATAAAGAGT